TCAAATCGCCCTCTTGCTCGTTCTCTCTCCTCCACCACTATACGCCCCCTAATGCTGATTGGCTACACTTTTGTTGTTGTGTCGGTCTGACCAACTTTCAAACAGTGTTTTACAAATATCACTTACTCCACCTTTAACACCGTCTCTCGTCTCGTGACACTTTGCTAACTCAGCTGTGCATTCATGAATGTGTTTTGAAGAAGGCGTGGCTTTGGAGATGCTCTGATGGGAAGGTGGAATCTCATGCTTTCAAAACTAGCTCGCAATTGCTAGCTGCTCCGAAAATTGCCTACCCTACCTTTAATGACACAATTTTCCTTTTAGGGTGAACTAACCCTTTAAAGGCATAGTTCACCCCTTGGAAATTGTATTTAAATATAATAAATAAATAAATATATATATATATATAGTGAAAATATAAAGAATAAGAACATTTCAACACAATATTTGTTTTTGTGTGAACTATCCCTTTAAGCATACTGTGAAATTACAAAACCATTTCCTTCCTTATATGTCAGACAGACTTGTCATTGGGTGCAGACTAGTGTTATTGTTCTTTTGAAGATGAATTGTGAATTTACACAGTCAGACTCACTGCGGCGGTCCCCGTGGTCTAGTGAATGTTTTAGCATCCCACCCACAGGTTGACTGACAGATCTGGAGCACAGAGGATCAATGCACCCCGTCCTCTTTCTGGGTGCAGAATTCTGAGCGTGTCCTCACACTAGTTCACACGTTCACATTGTGTAATAGCAGCTCATTGTAGGACATGGAACCCCCCAGATTTTGACTCGCACCTTTTTAAAGTGGTCTCAGACTTATGGATTTGTCAGTAACATAACAAGCAGTATATATAATGTCAGTATTGCAAGCGTTCATGTGTGCGTGTGTTGGTGATATTTGATATAATGGAATGTAGCCTAATACTTGAGGGATCTGCATAGTTTTTGAGGGGTTGTTTTTGCATATCGTGTATGATCAAAGCTTGATTTAATTAACTCAACATGAATTTTTCAGTATGTTTCAAGGGCAATCTTTGTGCTTCCATCTGGATAAAACAGACAAAGTTGGAGATCAGGACAATAAAATCATCATGAAATGAGAATGTAGCCTATGACTCTGGACAAAAAAAATAAGATTAAGAAAAATAAAAAAGTTTTGTAGAATATTTCAGCCATATTCTGGGAAAAAGAAATTAAATACATTTTGTGTGTTGATTTATGTTTGTCTCTAAAATAAGTAAATTACAGTTGGTTTATCCTAACAATTGGACCTCATATTGCAAACAATAGCAATAATATTTTTGTGTATATATTTTTTAAATATCAAGATTCACAAAGATACATTTAAATTCGCAAATGTAATGTGTATGTTATAAATCTAAATGTATCTTTTAGTTACACTTTTGTAAAAAGACAGACAGTCTACATCACATTAACGGTTCACAGTTCATTTTGAATCGGACATAATCAAAAAATGTTTCTTGATTCAGTAAGAGAACAGTTTGATTCACTGCCTTTGTGAGTCTGATTTAAACTGCTAAATGTGCTGTCACATTTACCATTGTTCTGCTTATTTTCGCAGGCAAAAATATAGTCATTTAAATAGCAATCTGTGCAATTTTGAATTTCCTATGAGGGTGAAAGATGCAGACTCTGCATCAGGTTTAAGTTGGTCATGCGAATTTGCCACAATGACCAACAGAAAGTTGCTTGGTTTTGTGACTTTATGACCGGTGCTTCATGCATCCCGCATATAGACACAAACAAAGCCTTCTTATAGTTTTTAAATTATTGTCACAATTATTGTCTGTTTTAGTCGCAATCTGGAGTCCTACATTTCATTGAGTTCCAGAAGTGGGTCTTTTGTGCAGTCTCATACGTCCCATAGTATGGAAATGCAAAGGAACATTGCAGCCATAAAAAACATTAAGTCTAGCTCATAGATTCTCAAGAGCACCATCACAAGAGCAAATTATATTTCAAGTATTCATCTTCTCAACCCCTGAGCAGGCTCAGTAAACATCACTTCATCTAACAGTGTTACCGTACCAGTTTCTACACTTAAAATTTCACTGTTGATATTGTGGCTCGCTCGTAACGTCAAGAAGGAGGATACTATGTTTATCATGTTGGTGCGTTTAATCAACATTACTTAATCCTCCCTGCTTGCTATGATGTTGTGCCATTTATTTATGGGTATTTTTAGGTGTATTCCTCTCCATTTGAAGAATTTTTTGTATCTTTAGCATGGATAGCATAAGGTCACAAAGAGAGTGATTTTGTGTGAGATTGATGAGCTTTTGTGGATGTGGGGTGTGTGCTTCTGTTCACCGCATTGGCATGGCTCAGCATGTGCAAACTGGGTGATGAAATGAATAAATAAAAAATGTGGGACTGAAAGTTGTGCCTTGGCACGCTGACCTAAAATCCAGTGAAGACTCGCCATGTTTCCCGTGGGATTAATCCAGTGTGGCATACAGAGTGTAGCGCAGCCTGTAAGGATTATATGTACTGGACTTGGGCTCCCGCTGCCCTACTTTTCATTAAAATATAGAGAGAAAGAGAGGGAGAGAGATTGCATGAATGCCTGGACAGATGGAGTGGGGGTTTGATTAAACAGTGCACCAAGTACTGGGAAATGCTACAACTTTTTCTTTCAATGCACAGACAGTTGTAATTTACTCGTTTTCATGATTTTGTTGTAGTGATATTTTACTTGAATGCATGACGCTATATTAATAATCATGTTTTGTGCTTTTTTTTTATTTGTTTGACCCATGAGCTTATAAAGTCTAAGAGGATTGTTTGTTTCCTCTTGTATTTTCCTCCCAGCCTCATATTCTCACATTCACAGACCTAAACACACAGCGATGGTGCTGTTCCTGGGAGAAATATCTTTGGTTGCCCCTGAGCTGCAGAAGCTGCTGAAATATAAATGAGACACTTAATGGCTGAGGCTGTATCGAGCTAGTGTTTAACAGGGATCCCAGGATTGTGTGTCACGGGGCTTCTGGCTTCGATCTCAGGAAGTCCTCTTACTACTTGCCAAATCCCGATTCATAAATGCCACCAGGAGTCTGTGTGTCACACTGGATGTGTTAATGTTGCCTTGACTGCGGCCCATGTTACATGGTGGGACCCCCATGTCTTGATCCTCCCTCAAGACATGAAAAATGCTCAATCACATTTCTTTTATACATAAAAAAAATAAACAGCTATACTACAGCCTTGGACAGATGGTTGTACTCTTAATTTTTCTAAATATTTTTTTTGGCAAAAAGTCTCCATTCTGAATATTTCACACAATTGGCTTGCGGGATGTTCACATGAAGACCCTATAAAATAAAAATTTGGTGGTGGTTTTGCGACTTAGTTCTTATTTGTTAGCTTTGAGGCTGTCCGTATGCAAGTGTACTCTTTAATGCTGAAAAATATTTTCAGCTGTATATTTTTGGCAGATATACAGACTTATTGATGACTCATCCTGCATAGATTTTTGTCCAATAAAAAGCCCTCAGAAATGAGTGTCCAGCCCCCCTAATACCACCTACCTCCAGCTCCAACTAACAAGTAGCAAATCATGACTCTGATGTAACTTTAACTAAAGCCTCCATTTTGCCATGTAAAAGAAAAGGAACAACACTAGTGATTGATGACAGAGCCTTTAGTGTGGCAGGTTCTAAAATGTGGAATGCCCTACCACTTGAGATCCGCCAAAGTGCAAGTGTTACCATTTTTAAAACTAAATCAAAAACATACTTTTTTAGTTTAGCTTACTTGTCAGCCCGCTGATTTTGCTTGCACTGTCTTCACCTCTTGTTCAATGCACTCATGTTTGCCATTTGAGGGTGTTTATATCTTCTCTGCATCTTGGCATTTTATGTACTGTGTACTTCACAGTGTACTGTTTATGTACTGTGTACTTTTGTATGTTCTTTACTATGCCAATTTGTACAGTGTCCTTGGGTACCTTGAAAGGCGCTTTTCTAAATAAAATGTATTATTATTATTATTATTATTATTATTGTAAGCCCTAAATTCCTGTTTCAATTGGAAATCGGAGTGTTGTTTCCCCATACTTGGATTTAGCCCTTATATATGCAGAGAGGGGTGGGTAACTTTCCTTGTCAAGAAGTGATAGTTTTTATTATTATTATTTTTTCATTTGATAAAAGAAATATGTTTGCTTTAAATTGTTAAATCTTTAAATTTAGATAGTCATTGTTAGGCAAAATGTACATTTGAATTTCAAAATGAATATACATTTTTCAAACTGTACATAATAATGTTGAGATACCTGTACCTAAATTCACTTTTAGGTTTTAGTTTTAAATTTTTAATTTATTTTGACTAGCTATTTTAGTATTAGGTTCAAATAATTGTCTGCTTAGTGGTTTCCAGACTTTTAATATCAGTGCATTTGTTAATTTGTACGTTTGCATTTTGACGACTTTGGTCAACTCCAAAGCAGTACGACAAAAATCTTTTGCACAAAAAACCCCCCTTGGGTTTCATTTGACCGATTCTGGCAGTATGCAGAAACCACTTGTTCCCAGCTACATTATTGAAAATGTCAGATCAGAGTCATATTTCTAAACTATTTTGTTCTACTTGCCATATTGAATAGAGAGGCACTCTCTGTCATCTGGGGCAATTACGAACTAGATGTGAAGGGAAGCAGATGTTAGAACATGATGTGATCTATCATCTGTGATGGATGACACCTTCCAATCTAGTAATAGCCATTTGTAACATTTGATTAACAATAAGAGTCAAAAATAGCGAGCTATTACTGCTGTGAAATGGGCAACTGTTATTCTGCATCTCACAGTGTGAGTCATCCTTCATTTAACATTCAGAAAAGCTATCCATTATGCATCATAATTACTGTTAAGAGACTTGAAGAACAATGACCTTACAAATGCTCAAACGTGCGGTAATGGGCTCTTAGTGGCAGCATTTTAAACTTACAGGTTTTTGGTATGCATTTCTTTTCAGATGTGTTGATGGACTCCACGACGGCAACGGCAGAGCTGGGCTGGACGATATATCCATCATTGGGGGTGAGTCTCATTGAAATAATTTAGATGATCAGACCTAGCATAAATGAATAATTCAGTGCACAAATTCAGCATGTGGTACTGAAATAGAAGTTGAAAGAATTCCAAATTAGATTATTTTTAATGCAATCCATGCAGCTTGTCTCACTTCTGCAAATTTTTACCTTCGATGTCATAATGTGTAATGGTGTGAAACCAGAATCGAATGTTTCATAGATATACAAATTGCTCGAAAAACATGCTTTTACTATTATCCGCACACATTGCTTATCCAAACATTATTATCTGTTCTTTGGTTCCAGTGGGAAGAGGTGAGTGGCTACGACGAGAACATGAACACCATCCGCACCTACCAAGTGTGCAATGTCTTCGACGCCAGCCAGAACAACTGGGTGCGCACCAAATACATCCGGCGGCAGGGTGCCCAGCGGATCCACGTGGAGATGAAGTTCTCCGTGCGAGACTGCAGCAGCATCCCGAAAGTCCCTGGCTCTTGCAAGGAGACTTTTAATCTGTATTACTTCGAATCAGACTCTGATGTAGCCACCAAGGTGTATCCCGCCTGGATGGAGAACCCTTGGGTCAAGGTGGACACCATTGCGGCCGATGAGAGTTTCTCCCAGGTGGACCTGGGCGTCGGTATGATGAAGATCAACACGGAAGTACGCAGCTTTGGGCCGGTGTCCCGTAATGGCTTCTACTTGGCCTTTCAGGATTACGGAGCCTGCATGTCACTTATCGCTGTAAAGGTTTTCTATCGCAAATGCCCCAGAATTATTCGGAATGGGGCCATCTTTCAGGAGACCTTGTCAGGGGCGGAGAGCACCTCTCTCGTGTCCGCCCGAGGCACTTGTGTACCTAATGGAGAGGAAGTGGATGTACCCATTAAACTGTACTGCAATGGAGATGGGGAGTGGCTGGTACCTATCGGGCGTTGCGTGTGCAAGGCCGGGTACGAGTCTGTGCACAACGAGACTGTGTGTAAAGGTGAGTTTTGTTGCTTATTCAGTATTGCTTATTAGGTATTTTACAGAATTAGAAAATTACAGAACAATTATTGCTTGGTGGTTCTTGCTGAAGATTCGCAGGTGAAAAACACATCAAAGGCCACATCTTTTTTGCTGCCAGCAGACTACAGTAAAAATCATACATACACTATTGCATACACTATTGGCTTGACGGGAGTTTAGCACTTGGCATCACTTTTTTTTTTAACATTCTTTTCAAGAATTCAAATTCTTAGTTTTGTCTCCAGAACAAACATTTAAAAAAAAGTAAAGGAAAAAAGATAAGATAAGATTCTTAAGAATAAATGTTAGAATATTTTTTCTAAAAATATAACTAAAAAAGTATATAATCTCTTAAGTTAAAAAATTAGAAGAAAATAGAAGTTCAGAAGATGTTTTTTCTTTATGCTTTGTAAATCCGGACCCAGAAGATATTGAGTCGTACTACAGACTTTATGGTGCTTTATAGTACTTTTATGTACTTTTTTGGACATAAAATATAAGAAAATTGATGTATTTTACAAAACCTTTTGTCTAGCGTAGATGGAATTAAAAATTTGAGAGTTTGAAACCACATTAAGCTAAGTAATTAATAATAATAATAACAATAATTCCTTTAAAAATATTTTTTTATTTAAACTGTTAAACTGTTTAAAGGCTGCCATTCTCATCTTTGTTTGTTTTAATGGCTTTTAAAAGTAAAACTGTTGTTACTTAAATGAGCAATTTCTAGCAGATTTGACCCATAAAAATAACTTTCGTCTGTGTGACGGGATGTTGTAACGTTGATTTAGATGTTACCACATGACGCACATTTTTAGGTAGCCTGACAAAACATTTTTTACAGTGCCGGATGCCAGCAATGATAAATAATGAATAGCCTCAGCTTCAGCCTCAGATTTCTGCACCCACATAAAGCACCATGAAATACAGATACATCGCCAAATTATGAAAAAGCTTGCATAATCTTTGTATTAGTCTTTTTTTTAAATGATTATTTTATCCAATGACGGAAAAGGAGGACCTAATGTCCTTCCTGAATGCGCATGCTCGCGCACACACACACACACACACACACACACGCACGCGTGCGCATTACAGTCTTACTATTGAGAGCTGCCCTGCAGGTACAAAACATTCACTGTCCTGATCCTTATGAAAGCCAGTTGAAAGACATTGCACATGGATAGAAACAGGCAGGAGGACACAGAGGATTTCTTTGGTTACAATCATTGTTATTTCAAGCTAAATCCACACACGCTCATGCACACACAAGCACTGACCCTTAAAACTGTTTTTATAACATGAGATTTTGTTTTTCTAGCATTACTCAACAAGGAAGTAGCTCTCTGTCTGTGAGAACAAGGGAGCCGTAATGAATAGAAATCCTCCAGTCAGTTGTAATGCTGCCTTGATAGGTTGGAATGAATAGAGGGATTTGGGTAGAAAAAGGTGTTTTTTTTCACCCTCTCTCAGCACTCGGGAGATATGATTACATTCGAGGAGAGCAGGGCGGCGATGAGGGAATGATTTTGGCAGGGTTCTCCTGGGTACTGTTGACAGAATCTAAATTACTAATATCCCCCCATCTGGAGCAGATGATGGATGGAAATCGGCAATATCCTGGGCGAGCACAAGCCAGACCATCTCTTTTATTTCCCCTGGTGTTAATCCTCCTCGCTGCCACCACTTTAATGACACTCCTAATTGACTAATTTGGAGTGTGCAGGGGGAGCTGTGTGGACGCTTAGACGCTGCTCTCCCTGGCGAGTCCATTCAGAAATCAAGCACAACTAATGAATCCCCCTGTGGTTGTTAACCAAGGACTGCATGCAGACAAATGGATTTATGAGGTCCATTTTCTGTCTCTAAAGGAAATATGCAGTAGCTATACTCATTAAAGCCAAGTAGAGACATAATGGTCTAATTGATAGCAAGCTTGACATGTAATTCTCTTATACTGTAATGTTATACTGGTACAATGGCACAGCACTGCATGCTTCCAGTCAATGCAACTTGAAAAGCACTTTGTGTGATTTCATCTCAGTGGCTGTGTGTTTTTTAAAGCCTTACAGTGCTCAACAATAAGGATTTTTGTCTACTAACTTAAGCCAGTAGTTAAAAATTGTACTTGCTTTGCCAATGTTTTTAAATAACCACATAAATCAATAACCTATGTAACAAATAATGTAACTTTCAATTGTTTTTTATGAATTGTTTTTAAATTAATATTTTAATATATTAAAATGAATAAACAATAAAAAATAAATAGTTTTTTTCTTTTTATTAAATTTTCTAAAAATTCATGTCACTGTTACACTTAATATTGTCACATTTTCCTGGTTAAATGAGCATTGCCTGAAGACCAAATGGAATTGTATTTGGTCTTTATGTAATATAAATGCTGAGGTGTCTTGTCCGTCACCTGATCTGATATCCTGATCTACTGCACACTGCTGACACAGATAACTGAACCCTTGGAAATCTTAGAAACTGTTAAAAAGTCAAAGGTCAGCTCAAATTATAAGGCTTTTTACTAGCATGACAGTTTGCATATGAATTAAATGTTATTTGTATTATTTAGCTAATTATTCATTTAACCAACGTTTAAGTCGTTATTATCTTTACTACTTTGAAATACGTGCTGTTAAGGAAAACACTGTTGAATCATTTACAGTTATTGTATGATTAAAAAAGGGTATTAACACAACGTTACATAACCACAGTGAATAACTGTAGAAGAATCACTGTGACATTTGTAATACAAATGCTGAAGTGTCTCGTCCATCACCTGATCTGAGATTTGCTACTGTAAGATGAATGTAACTTTTAATAAGCAGGGGAAATTCCAGACTTTAAACAAATAACCATTGAAATGTTTCGGTATCATTTAAGTACATGATTGTGTTGCAAGAATGTACAGTACAGGCCAGGGAGACCTCTGATATAAAAACGTGGACTTGTAAATACAGCTTTTTCTAATTAAAATCAGATGATTTCCTATTAATTCAATAGAATATGAGAGAATACTAGGGAGTCTTAATATGTTGGTGCGGTGGCTACACTTTTTATGACATCATGAGCAATCCAATTCTCTATATAGATCAGTGATAACGCAATTAACGCAGCATTCACTTTTTTCCGTCACCCTTTGGCCAGCGTTACATTATATAATCATGCTCTTATTCATGAAAATGCTTTTAAACCATTCAAGCGCGATAAGACTCAAAATAGAATACAGTGCAGTAGTACTGTTAATCTCCTGTCTGTGTGACACACACACACTCGTGCACACAAAAAGCTGCTTCAGACAAAATTATGCCCAAATGCCTGTTTTGTCGAGTATCCTCGCAAGCACAGTCTTACGCTTAAATTAGATAAATGAATGAGTCTTCAATGAAGGAGTCTGAATGAGTCTTAAATGAACGTAAAGAGTAAATGAGAAAATGGGATGCGTGTCAGATCTGCAGCAGGCCTTAAAGTGACAGCAACCTAATAAACCTGCTACTGTCTGCCTAATCAAAGAACAAAAGTAAAAGAGAAAATCACTCACCCACTGCTCTCGACTGAATAACTTTTGTTGCTTAAATAAGGATTAATCTATATTTAATTTATAATTTATGCAGTGAAGACTGTGAAATGTTTGATAACTTTATTCAATTTCTGTATTATCCTACCTTGACTTACCTAAAATCTTAAAGCACTGTTTACAAGGTTAAATGGGTCAAAAACAAAAAATAATTGCATTTTGACTGGGCTGGTAAAAATTAGGGATGGCCCGATACCATTTTTTTTCAAACCGATACGAGTACGAGTATTTACATTTGTGTACTTGCCGATACCGAGTACCGATACCGATATTTCTACCGCAAAAGTAATAGGCTCCCAGAAAAGAAGACGACTATTTTAGAACACAGGTTAGAAGACTGTTTTTATTTTCTTCTCTGCTTGTTTTAACAAGTCTAAAAATAAAAAAAAATTAGTAAAATAATAAATGTATTAACACACAAACCACTGTTAATTTAACATAAAAGCAAGCAGGCTACTGCGTGCATGGTCTGGCATGACTGAATGCGCGCAAAGTGCGCTCCCTTAATAAATCCTAAAAGCTGACAGTTCATCACGATCTCACACATCTCTGTTATTATCAATGAAGCTGACTGCACAATCAATCTTTCATAATATCCACACTTTGTTTGTTATAATTAGAGGATTTGCCAGCATACAGAATTCAGCACTGAACAAAAAAGTCCGTTTTGAGCGGTGAGGGGAGTCTATCTTAAATGCTTCTGATTGGCCATTGCGTTCCAGAAATCAACACATATGTCTGTGATTGGCTACATCGCTCAACGCTGTAACCATGTTATGAATAGAAACTCTGTCCTGTAAATCGTTTCTATTTTGTTGTAGTTGTTCTTGTTGCTTTTCTGCAAGAGATGAATAAAAATCTTTTAGTTTTTATGTTTTATTCATAGATATTTCTAGTTTGCGGGAGTCCCGCGAATCGTTTTATTCTCCCGTAACCCGCATACACAGAGTGAGTGCATTACCACCCGCGCGCGCGCTCGGCCATCAGATCTATGATGCGTCTTCAGATGTTTAGATTGCTGGTGTTAAACGATGTACTTTCTTTCCCTCCTCTCGACACCTTAGCTGAACATAACTCACAGTCTGCCTTGCTGTTGTCATCATCCCTTATCTTGAAATGAGCCCAAACCGCCGGCATTATACTTTCCTATGCCTCAGTTCACCTCGACAAAGCACTCGCGGCGGCCAGTTTCGTTTTGCAAAATGTACGTGGTATCGGTGCGTGGTATCGGCGAATTTTTATGAGTACGAGTACGAGTATATTAGGACAGTATCGGCCCGATCCCCGATGCCAGTATCGGTATCGGGCCATCCCTAGTAAAAATCGGCTCTGTTCTGACTGGGCCAATAGAAAAAATTGAGCAATGATATATTGAAGGGCACAGGTGACAT